CGTTTAGGTCCTTCCATACGAGCCATTGTTCAACATGGAGTAACCCTGCCCGCAGAGAAGAAAGATGTATACTAAGCTCTGGCAGACATTTTTTCTGTAATGAAGCTTAATTTATCATTGTATAGCACTTTTTGGTTGCTGAAAGTTCAGACAACCTTGCTGATGGTTTTACGTGTACGAGGGAGTAAAGGTCTGCAAAACATGGTCAGGGTTCTTCATCAGTGATTAAATTATCATTCTATAGCACTTTTTGGTTGCTGACGAAAGTCGCTTGGTGAAGTTACAATGCGTCTCATTCCGCTTTTACTTGGAGTAACTTCTAATTTATTGCAGAACTCACATCACATGTCTGTAAACCTTCCCCTGTATGCTTGAGTAGCTGAGTTCAGTCGTTATCCTGCTTCTGCCCAGTCTTTCAAGAGCTTAGCGGCACCGCGACAAAGAATCAGTAGCATGGCAACTAAGCCTGCGCCTATTGAAACTTGGAATTCAACTTTGAACTGAATATCAAAACCCTCCAAAGACACACATACCTCCAATCCAAACAAGCTTCCAGTGCTAAAGATAGGGCCCAGGACTGCCTAAACCAAACTTGATTTTGCTATATTATGAATTAGAAGTACATCAGAGTAGTATTTTAAAAAGGTCCATCAGAGTAAACGCCAGCTGTACAGGCAGGAACCTTTTCTCATATTTACATGAATGAGCAGGTATGTATTCACCTAGCAAAGCAGGCCAAGGATTGCCTGGCAAAAAAGAAGGCACACAAACAAAAACCCAGTTGCAAAAGGAAGAAAAGAAACGTGTCGTTTCATGAGCCGGGGAACTGCGAAAATGTCCCCTCCATGTGAAGAACGGTCTTTGATTGGCAGCTCAACGATACTTGTGTGAAAACCATCGATGCCGCAACGCTTCCCTGGCTGTTGGTCTCTTTCTGGGGTTGATTTGCAGCAGGCAGGACAGGAAATCAACAAACTTGGAGTCGGGGCATCGCAAGTGGCGCCGCAAGGAGGATTTCTCTGGTATCAAATACTCCAGCTGACCCGTCTCCTAGAATAGGAAGAGAAATGGAGTTGGAAAAATGAATGCCATGTTCTAAATAACACTTGTGTGGTGATCAAAGTTTAAAAAACACTAGGCATTCATTGTGTGTTTTGCCACTGCCTTGTGCTTTTCTGACCAAAGCGCAAACTTAAGCACAATTATGTGCACATTAAGCGCTAGGCGTTTTGGTATCACCTAGAGCATAGGCACACCTTTTTTTAACTATGGTGGTGATACCAGTGGAAGTGCCATAGAACAGCTTAAGTCCTTATGGAAAGATCTTTGCAGTGATGACAAAGAAGTTTCTTTCTCAAGATTATGTACAGGGATGGCGTTCACCAAATTGGCATACTCAATGTACCTGAGGGAACCAGATCCCAAAGAATAAAAACCAACCAACATGGGTACCCTTGAACAGCTGCAAACCACATTGGCCAACTACTAAAACACAATTCCTCCAGTAACAGAAGGCAACAGTTTTTCCAATTAGTGTCTTGTTGGTAATGTTATTTGTGGAAAGTATTTCAGTTGTTGACTTCATTTCTTCACAACTCAAGATGTTGTACAGGGCATAATATTTTTTCAAGTGTCGGCACAACAAAATTTAAAATAAAACTGCACTGTAAATAATCTTCTATGGCAGCATACTTGTGCACAATACTGTCATTTGCATTTACCATGCCAAGCATGTGGGACACAAAGAGGTCCCTAAGACAGAGACTGGTCTTCTTTCAAATGATATGCAGAAACCCAAGGATTACAATGAAAAACAGCACCTAATTTTGCTTCAACTTAAGTGTGCATGCAAACTAAATTAGGTTCATATTATGTCGTGCACATCGTCATCAAACAAAGACTGGAAAAAGGTACAGTAACAAAATAATATTGGTTTTCTTAAACACACTTGGAAGTATGTGTGATGGGAACTTATGATATTTGAAAAGACAGGCACAAACCGAAAAAAGTAAACAAGCATGTACCTCGTTCTTGTGGAAAAGGTCGTACTCTTCTGTAAAGTACTTCGGAGTCTCCTGTCCCAACGCAAGCATCTGCGTGTCAATTGGGCCAATTGTTCCAATCATCCGAGCAAGAATTGTTGACACCGCTTCATTAGGAAAGAGCACCTGTAACATGTAGCCAGCATCCTCAGTCTCTACTTCGCTAGAAATAGAAGAACATGGCTATTACTCCCTAAAAAAGGACAGACCCAGTGCATAGAAGCTCCCACACAAGGTGGGGTCTGGGGAGGGATTATAGGAACCTAGTCTTACCCCTGCAAAGTGCAATGCAGAGAGGCTATTACTCCCTCCGTTCCCAAATATAAGTCTCTTTAGAGATTTCAATAAGTGACAACATACGGAGCAAAATGAGTGAATCTACACTCTAAACTATGTCTACATGCATCCGTATGTTGTAATCCATTTGAAATTTCTAAAAAGACTTATATTTAGGAACGGAGGGAGTAGATCAGACAGATGTAATTCTACCACTACCAGACATCACATTAACTCCTCAACTTTACTCTGGAAGGTGCGCTAATGCTCTGGTTTTATTTTTCTAGTGTTTTGAACAAAGATTCTAGACACATTATCTTCAGTTCATACCAGATCAAACAGGTAGTTCTGTCGTATGTGCAATGTTACTAGAAGGTTCTGCTTTGCTTACATTGTACTCCCTCTGTAGTGATCTAAACGGTCTTATATTTGTTTACAGAGGGAGTAGTATTCTGCAGAAATATACGGTCCTCCTGTTCAACTTAAGACCAAAAAACAGGTCCTACTCAACTTGTGAAGGGCGGAAGAGCTATAAAATTCAAGCATATTGCAGACTTGCAGTCTTGGAATGAAGTGAGTGGTTAAACAAGCACCAAACACTAGCCCCAACAGGACAAAAAAAATCGAGATTGAAGAGGACAAATATCCATTTAGTTGTAGATAAACTCTGGTGTATATTTGGCTGTGATTGGCTTAAACCGTAGTAGATAAAATGTATGTTGATGCGCCTCACAGATGTCATGCAAACCAAACAGAAATGGAAATTTGTAAGTCAACATGTAAACTTACTTCACCAGAGTACAGTTCGGCGAATATACATCCAAGAGACCAAATGTCAATCCTCTGGTCATATGGAAGACCCAAAATAATCTCAGGAGCACGGTAAGAACGTGACTGGACGTATAGGCTTAAGTTATCTGTCAAGAAGCAACTGCTTCCAAGATCAATAACCTTGACTTCACATCTGCTGTAGCTCTTCATAAGGATGTTCTCTGGTTTCAGGTCACAGTGAACTATATTTAAATCATGCAAATACACCAAAGCTTCTAAGCACTGTCGAGCTATAGCCTGAAAATGAAGGGAAGGTCTCCTGTTTCAGTAGGTATTTTATATTTTCAAGAAATAAACTAATTATGCTTAAAGTACATTCCAGACTTCGCAAAAATATCACAGAGAAATGAGGAACAAAAGAACCGCAACATAGATATGGTGCTACTAATTGCAAGTCAGAAGATACACAATAAGGTTACACAGAGTGCTTTGGTAGCAGAACAGAAGGAGATACTCTCAGAAAAAAGAAGTAATAATCAGATACCTGTATTCTGGGCAATGAAAAGTAGACCTCATCACTGGACTCCTGGTTATACTTTTGAAACTCATATAGATTTGCCCGTAGCAATTCGGTTACAATGAAAAGATGTTCCTGTTGATTGTTTCAGCTGTCAGCACTATGCGGCGTCAAAAATGAAAAAGAATGCTGGGATTGATATTTAACAGGCCAATGAACAGCTCATAAGTGTTAAGATTTGGAAGAATATGATCTTTTTTCTTTTTTTAAAGCAATTTGACTCTTCATTGTAAGGTATGGTGTAAAAGCAAGCCAACGGTTTGTATCCCCATATCAGTACCTGATAGTAGAAAAAATCATATAGGCGCAATATATGATGTGCATCTGCCGGATCATGTTTATTTACAAACTTAAGGAGCTTTATCTCATCCAAACTCTGATCAAAGAAATCCTTGTCATTTTTAATTATTTTAAGGCAGACATCCATTCCTGTGCGAAGATCATGTGCCTGTACGACCCTGCTGAATGCAGCGGAACCAAGATATTCAGTGATGCGATATCTTCCGGCAACAACTGAATCTACCACAATAGGAAAATCTTTGTTTTCCTCAAAGCCAGTCCTGCAGGAGAATCCTATCACATGAGCATACAAGTATATCCAAATAATTATTTGGCAGAAATAAATAGAAAAGGTATTGGATAGTGAACCTGTTCTTCCGGTGGAAAATCCTCAACTCAAATTCCTCATATTCTTGATGAAAAATAGAGCTTGCAAGATCAATCTCCGTTTTCGGACCTTCATCGATATTATGAGCAGCATTTTGAACATTTGTATCCGCTGGCCCGAAGTCCTCCATCCCATAAATATCTTCAGGAATACTAATCTCAGGAAAAGGGTGCACGCTGTAACTATCCTTTAGAAATTCCTTGTCATCGACAATTTTGTCATCTGTTATAAGGTCAATATTTAGTTCATCGTTTACTCTGAAGTCATGGTTAAACCTATGGTCTGAAAGAGATAAATAAAGTCAGAATGGAACCAACTAGTACACAGGCAAAAATAAATAAATTCACTCCATATGAGGACAACGAATTTTGGAATTACAAAGGCACGCAAATCTGGATCAACCAGAAAAACTACATCAGATCAACCAGCAAAGTTACATCATAATTCAAGTTTGTTCTGGGTTCGTAATTCAAGCATATACCAATCTTATAGAACTGCGACAATCCGGTGCTAGTACAAAATATAATCTCTTCAGAAAACAGTCCAATCACAGAGTGAATCGTTTCAAGCTTGTTAAAGCGAAACATGGCAGATGATCCTGAGGAATATGGAAGAGGGCAGAAGCACTTACTGTTAGCAGCATTTGCGTCTTCAGACAAGTACGGACTGAGCACCTGAAGCTCCTTCTCCAGCGCACTGAGATCAAACTCCTGGTCATCTCCACTCCTGGAATCCACTAACGGACCGCCCTTGAGTGTGGCATCGTCATTCACATTGCGCCTGAACTGGTGCGCGTCTGCACCGCACTCATCAAGCACCTCCGTCAGGTCGTCCATGATCTGATACCTCCCGTACACAGCAGACCAAGAATCCCTCGCAAACTCCCGACCATTCTTGTGCTCCATTTCGCCGTGGCAACAACTGCAGGGCGGTGACGTATACGCCTCTGCATTGCTCTTGCTGCGCTCGTGGCGTCGGCTGCTGTCGTCGCCAATCTCGCCGACGTCGGGGTCAACAATGAACTTGTCCTCCTCGTCGCCGTCGCCGCTCTTACCGCTGATCTCCGGCTCGCGGTGGAACAGGAGGTCGTCGTAGAGCCAGTTCTCGCCGAAGAAGAGGTCGGTGGTGTCGTACTCGCGCGCGGTGCCGAACTCCGACGCCTCCGACGGCGCGCGTGGCGGCGACCACACCCCGTACGGATTCAGCAGCCCTGATCTCCAAGCGAAACGGCCAAACGGAAACAGAAGCGACAAAATTCGGATCAGAATTCAGAACTCGAGCAAAAGCACACGCGCGAGCTTGAAGCATATGCGTTTCTCGTTGACGCGCGGAGATCGAGATTCACAGCGCGAGTCAGTCAGTCACACGCCCCGCTCGCTCTCGGGAGGCCGCGCGCGCCGATGACCAGGTGGGTTCAACATACTGGGGAAGAAAAACTAGTGGACTGCGTCTCGTGCAAGCACGCAGTGTACCTGAAGGCGTGGAGGTCGTGCTGAGGAAGGCGTCGGAGGAGGAGCTGGAGGCGGGGCTGGCGAGCGCGGCCCCGGCCCCGTCGGAGGCGTAGTAGGAGGCGCCGAGCCGCAGCGGCGGGAGGCGGGGGTCGGCGGAGTCGGCGGATTCGTCGCCGCGCCTCCCCGCGAGGACGCCGTGCCGCAGCGCGAGGCCGTGGCCGGCGTCGGCGGGGAACCCCATCCCCACGACGCCGACGGCCTCCTCCGCGCCGCGCGCCATGGCCAGCGAATCACTCGTGCGCCCGCCGCTGACCCTGCGCCGCCACGGCCACCATTTGAAGCCAAGCGAAGCGACTGCGACGAGAGCGAAGCAAAGCACCGAGAGACTGGACAGCACTAGCAGGACAGGGGCGAGGCCGCACGGGATCCAACCAACACGCCCGCACACGACAGCGCCTTCTCGGGGCGGGCCGTCCCGCTGGCAGGCGGGGCCCGCAGGCCAGCGTGTCGATGTCGGCGTCGGCCCGGGGCCGCTGTCGACGGGCGCCCGCGGTGGGTGGTCTGGTGCGCGCGCGCGGCAGGATGATAGGGTGGCCTGCGATCCGACGTGGAGGGAGCGGGGCCGTCATTATTGTCAGTCGCTGTTGCGCTGGACGCCGCCCCCCTCGCCCCGCTGGGGAGGGATCCGGATCCTCTGCGCTTCTTCGCTCGTGACGGACACGGCGGATCGGCCGATCTACCATTCCTACCGCTGCTGCCAGCGTCCAGCGGCAACGACGTCAGATCTATCTGCCTGCCGTGGTAGGCCAGGCCGGCCTTCCCTTCGCAGCAGAGCAGAGCACCTTTCTTTCCCGAACCCCGCGGCCCTACCGTCGGAACCGCACCTGCTCCGGCTTTAGGCTGATCATAGTGGGGAGTAACTTAGAGGGTGCTTGGATACGTTTTAGTCCCATGATTAAAAGTAGTGGGACTAAAACTTGCTAGCCTCATCCATGCTTGGATCCAAATACTAAAGAGACTAAAATCAAATTATTGAGCATTTATTATCCTCCAAACCATCCAATCCAAAACTCGCATGTGTTAAAGTAGAAGAATTAAATGAGGAGAGAGAGGGCTAATACATATTTTAGTAGGTTTCCTATGACTAAAAGTTCTTAGCCTCAAGACTAGTCCTAACCTCTCTTTAGTCAGGGGTGCTTGGAACTTTAGCCTCTAAAAAAGATTATTTTTAGTCAGACTAAAAATAGTCCCTTGAATCCAAGCACCCTCTTAGACTAGTGTCATATGCATGACACTAGTCTAAGTTACTACCCCCATAGTGCAAAGTATCTTAATAGTAGTGTCATAGTTTGTTTCATTTATTACCTTATAGACTCATTTTATCTCGGGAAGCGCTATGTTACAGTAACATATTATGTTACTTCAAACACCTCTCTCCTTATTAAATACTTGCCACATAAGCAAAATTGTTTTGGAATGTGTTAAGTTACTACCTAAGTTACCCCCGCTATGGCTAGCCTTAGCGAGCAGCTGAGGAGAGCATAATTGCGTCCTCGCCGGGCCGGAGCCCGGATCGGCCGTGCAATCGTGCAGTGACTGGTTAGTGAATGGATCAATGAGTGATGCTGCTGCTGCATAATTGCGTGATGTTCTGGACTCTGGTTTGGTAGACGAACGTTACGGGCTTCAGCTCGCAGTGGGGCGCGGGGGTTTTGTGCGATCGAAGAAAGAAAATGCTACAGTGCAAACGGGCCACTGGAAGATGGATGGATGGATGAACAAATCCTCTGCGACTTGTTTGTTTATTACTCCCTCCGTTCCACAATGTAGTGCATATAGATTTTTCTAAAAGTCAAACTTTATAAACTTTGACCAAGTTTGTAGAGAAAATCATATACATCTAGAATACCAAACACATGTGCTTAGATACATCACAAGACATACTTTCATATTATGTACATTTGGTATTGTAGATATAAATAGTTTTCTCTATAAACTTGGTCAAACTTTATAAAGTTTGACTTTGCAGAAAATCTATATGCGCTACATTATGGAACGGAGGGAGTACCACCTGAAAAACATGGCGGGCGCTTCTTTTTTTTAGTCTCGTCGGATTAGGCGTACCGTCCAGTAAAAACGACGTCGCACTGGAGACCTCCTTGTCATGGCAGTTCGGGGGCTGACTAGGAGTATGGTAGGGTAAAAACAAGAGAAAAGTGCTTAAAGTTAGTAGTACTCTACCTCGTAAAAGGCAAAGATTGCGTTCGTGCTGTTTGTACGCTTAATGATTAGGGCATGACCAATGGAGGCGAAAAAAAGACAGGTGCTTCATCAAACACACAGGCATGGGAGGATTGAGGCTATTGCTCACATGCGTTCAGTCCAATGGTGGCTATGGTGGTGCTGCCTCACACCCGTCATCCTTTGGTCCCCATGTGTTCATCTTTTCCATTCTTCCTCCCCTTCTTTTCCTCTCCTTCCTTACTTTTTCCTTCTTTATCTGCTGAAGAACCCGTCTCCTCTGCAAGCTTCACCTGGCGCATGCAAGCAGCCGTCATGCTGCCACAGTGGCATCCGAGCCTAGTTGGCTTATGAAGCATCATCTTTGAGGCTACCCATTGACCATGCCCTTATGTTCACAGCGAGTCGCGGATGTGATCTTAATTCACGACCGCTGGAAAAGCGATTTAGTATAAAAAAGAAGACCGTCCCAGCGAGCGGTTCATTTTTTTTTTCGAAACGGAAGCGAGCGGTTCATGACCTCTTCAAGATCTGGTGATAACGCCAGCAAATACTGGCCTCATTTATGTCCCCCTTTATCTTTATTACAGTAGTGAAAGGGGGGCAAAGCTTGGTCTGTTTACTTTACTTTACCATCTTTATTACGTGACTTGAACACTCTGATCTCCAGCCTCCAGGTATTGCAACTAATACTACTACTACTACTTGAGCAAATTATTTATGCTCAAATCTCTATTCTTAACTGATTAAAGTTTGGGGAATGCTGTTTTTGAGCTCGCCAGACCTGTCACCTATTACACCCCCACTGGTCGGTCCAGCCCGCCTTTAATATGTTCTCTAAACTTTATTAGTTTGGACTTTGGAATGATAAAGCCGAATGCGCTGTCTAAACAAACCGCTTTCTCTTTCGATTTTCTTCTCCGCTAGAAAACGGCGGTAGCTGAAGCTTAAGTGTAAAGGCAACATGATTAGTCAGCGAAATGGGAGGAATGCCACACAACCTCCAATGATTTCGGAAGCAATGGCCCCAAGAGCAGTGGGGTTTAAACCCACGAACAAGCACATGAGACCAGGCAAACTCTGAAAATTATACTGTGATGACAAGCTGCAGGTTACCCTGACCCCGTTTTGGCATGTAGCCGAAACTTTCAGTATCAGACAGCAACACAGCAGCGTGCCCTCAGACAATCTGGTGCACTACCTACTGCAAATAGAACGGCACACATAGGGCAGCACTATATAAAAGTTGCGGCTACATGGCGCCCCCCTCTTGTCCCTTTCCCCCGGCAATATGCCGTTTTGGTACAGTTGAAAGCAAGGCTGCACTAACAGTCAGTGGCCTACTAGGCATGCATATCTAGCTCTTAACCACCAATACAGTACAGACGATTCCATCAAAGCCAACAAAGTGTATCTGAGGGGGAAACAACAAAATATTGTACAACACTTAGCATCAGGTACAGCAAAAGGAGATATCATCAGGCAGGAGCGGTTGGTGCATCATTCGGTGCGTGCGTGCTCCTCGCCTCGGCGATACCGGGAAAGCTACTTACACGAGTAAGCCAATCAGGGGGGGAGCCTATCTAATTAAATTTCCGCCAAAATAATCATCAGAGAAGGAAAGAGGGTCTATGCTTAGTGGGCCAATGACCGGACTTACGTGACCGGGACAAGAGCGCCAGCTACAAGCCTGTGATTTCACTCATTTCCCATCTTTACAGATCCATCCTTGATAAGCCTTATGCTTAGGCTATTGAAACGTCCTCTCGAATAATGCCGCGAAGCCTTTCGCCAGTCCGTGCCGGTTTTCATCATTGCTACAAACTCTTCAAAGCTAATTTTGCCATCCTGCAGAAACAATCAAAGCAGATGTTAAGTATCGTGAGGGATACAATCTGAAGGCTGGACCCTCCTTTTGGCAAAAGTGCAAATGAACCTCCACCTTGTCGGTGTCAACTTCTTGCAATATGTCCTTCACCACTTCCGTGATATCTACCGCCCCATCCTCCGCCAGGGCCTCCTGAAGCTCCTCAGGCTCAATAAAACCATCGCCATCCTTGTCGAAAAACAGGAAGGCCCGCCGAAGGTGCTCATCATTTGCCATCCTTTGTAGATGAAGTGAGACAGCCAAAAATTCACCATAATCTAGTGCTCCTCTACCATTTGTATCCACCTAGTATCCAACCAAAAAAGATCAGATATGCAAATCTTCATCATTTTGTTCCCGTAAACTACACAAGTCAAACCATTTGGAATACTTAATTCTCAAGTTGACTTTGACGTCACATGCAATAGTGGTATACTCTTCTTATGGACCTTATGCGACCCCCCAAAAAAAATATGGTAAATGATAAAGAATTAGCAGGTACATTTGAGTTCTATATGTTCAATCTGTATAAATCAATACTTCAGAAAAATGTTAGCCATGAGGCTCTAGAACTCATCTGTCATAAACAACATATTAAGTGAGTAGAACAGAAATGTCCATACTGGAAATGAAAGTGCAGGTTTATTATATCCTTTATCCCTTATTGCTACTCCCTCCGTTCCAAAATAGATGACTCAACTTTATACTAACTTTAAAAAAAAGTTAGTATAAAGTTGGGTCGTCTATTTTGGAACGGAAGGAGTACTTTTCAAGGTCCCAAGAACTAAACTGATTCAAAAAGGGACCAACATTTACAATACTTCTACCCATCTGGTACAAAAAAATGTCAATATATTTTACTGCATTTCCGGTTGATTGAGCAATAGAACTATGTATCAGACATAATTTTTTGCAGAAATAGCGCCATTCAGTTTGGACTGTGATCAAAGATAGAGGCTCAGTTAATCTAACTGAACATTTTAACAAGCAAGCAAAACCCTGTATATTACTTACAGCTTCTATTAACATTTGCACTTCAGATTCTGCAAGGTGAGAACCAAATTTTGCGATCCCGCTCTTCAACTCTTCATATGAGACTATACCGTCATTATCAGTATCCATCACTTTGAACATCTCCTTTATGTCCTCAACTTCTTCAGCCGACAAGTGGTCAGCAATGACCTAGTCAAATAAATTTCGTCAGTACAACATATTTTTGATGTAAATTTGAGAGAGATATTCAGTATCAAAGGGGAGAAAATCGATTAACGGGAAAACAAAATTCAAACCCTTAAAGCTCTTCTTTTGAATCTGTTCATCCTTGAAAACTGCTTCAGCCTTGACTTTACAATGTCTCCAAGAGGAACATTTGGAGCTTTCTTGGCATTTTGAAGCCATGTATGCTCTGTGACAACAGAAATCAAGAATATATATAAACATCAGACTATGTCAAAAAAGACTTAAGAAAAACGAGATGCACGGTAACGTAAAGTCGATTAAATGTGTGGATAACTGGTGGATTATGGAGACTTGGATAGTCGGTTCAACAGGCATCCCGCAATTGTAAGAAGGAACAAATGTAGCTTAAATATTAGAACATGAAGCAGCAAAATGAAGAAATGGCTTTGTCTATTTTGCTAAAATATTAGGCACATACTAACTCAGTATAGTACAAAATCAACATAATGCTGTCCATGTCTTGGATAATCGACAAGCTTCTTTTTTATTGCTTTTATTTTGAGAATCTCAACACACTCCATGTAATAGCCATCTAGAGCTTGCAACTGTGTTTCATGCCAGACATCAACGGTGTATCTCAAGTTTACAGCCACATTTAAAATCTACTTCCTCAATCCTCATTTTACTCTCGGCACCTTCGCCCGTCAGATTTCTACTTATGTTTACTTTTGGATTCAGCATTGCTCAGTATATTACATCCAGATTACAGAAGGCAATAATATGCTACCAGAAAATATAGCGAGGCAACTACCAGAGCAAGGATTCAAAGTGGATCCTGCATAACTTTTACTACAAGTGTTAGGCAGGGGGTCCTTCAAATTGATCTGAGTATTAGATCCAATGTGACAACAGATTTACCGCATAGCCAAAATAAACTACATAACATGACATCAGGATATGGTTGGTAGATACTTATGTGCAAAAATGGAGAACTATCCAAAACCAGGCAGACTGGTCCAGTGATCTTCTAGCTATCAGATTACACATTGCAAATTGAAAAACAGAACATGAAAGGGGGTTCAGGCTGAAGTTTAAAGCAGCACCAAACAGTAGGAACTTACGCAAATTTGATGTTTTGGGAACTTTGAGGATATTGAAACTAACATAACACAGTGCCGGTTTGAAAGCACTACCACTATGTACATCTTACCAAGAACTTGCTTTGCCGTTAGCCTGATTTTCGGGTCAGGCTGAAGCATCTGCCGAACTAGATCTTTAGCATTATCAGAAACATGGGGCCAGGGTTCTCTCTTAAAATCTATATTTCCCCGAAGGATAGCTTGTGCCACTCCTTGTTCAGTCTCTGCAATATAGCATGGTAAGACCGCGCGAAAGCAAAGCTGAAGGATAAAAGGTTCTCGCAAAGATAAGGCAAAGTACCAGCCCAAAATGGAGGAACACCGCATAACAATATATACAAGATAACGCCAGCACTCCAAATGTCTATTTCAGGTCCATAGTTTCTCTTCAGCACTTCAGGAGCCATATAGTAGGGACTTCCCACAATTTCAGAGAACTTCTCACCTAAACAATTGCATAATGCCATCATATTATGTACGGTACAAAATGTTAAAACATATATGTATAATAGACATTTCACAGGGAATAATTAAAGGAGTGCGACAGATAGCAAAGTAAATCATCGAAGTTCCAGTTGACTCGAATTACAAACATAAAAAGTGATATTTACAAACATAAAAGATAGGCCACCTGATGCCTTACTATTTCCCAAAATAATTGAGCTCAGGTCGAACATGGTATCAGCATTCAGATACCAAGACTTGGTATGGAGTATGGACTACAAGCAAAACGACATTGTACACTATTTTTGGCAACAGCAATGTGCCGTCTGATCCCACTAATGATTCCCAAATCCTAAAAATAGCAGTCACCCATGAACCAGCAAGTCAACCTAGCACCTAAGATTCCAGTATCTGGACTAGCAGCACAATCTGCAAGAGGCAACTATATCAAGAGACATACTACCGAGTACTGACATACCACCAACTTGCTGCGAAAGAAAGAATACATCTAAAAAGTCCTACCAAAAGAGAACCACCAAAATCTAGTTTTAGTCAGATTACGCAAGCACGGAAATAGCACTCAGCTACAGTACCGAGCACTACCAAAAATTCCACCCAGAAACGGCCACCAACCCACGGATCACGCGCTTAGACAGAGAAAAAAAACGCCCAAAAGTGCAGCGACCAGTTCGTCCGAATCACGGTGGATCTCGGCGGCTCACCGGGCTTGAAGAAGATGGAGAGGCCGAAGTCGATGGCCTTGAGCGGGGAGTTCTCCTTCTTGTTGGCGAAGAGGAAGTTCTCTGGCTTGAGGTCGCGGTGGATGACGCCGTGGTGGTGGCAGAGCTGCACGACCTCGACGATGGTGCGCGTGACGGCGGCGGCGGCGCGCTCCGTGTAGTGGCCCCGCGCGACGATGCGGTCGAAGAGCTCCCCGCCCTCGCAGAGCTCCATGACGAGGTGCACGGCGCCGTCGTCCTCGCAGGCCTCCCGCAGCGTGACGATGCTGGCGCTGCGGGGCAGGTGGCGCATGATGGCCACCTCCCGGCGCACGTCCTCCACGTCGACGGGCGTGCGCAGCTTGCGCTTGGAGATGGACTTGCAGGCGAGCAGCTCCTTGGATCCCCGGTCCATGCACAGGTACGTGACCCCGAACTCGCCGCGCCCCAGCTCCCGGTCCAGCGCGTACTTGCCGTCGATCCCGCCGCTCACGTCGCGGCCCTCCTCGCCGAGCACCGACAGCCGCTTCTTCTCCCCGCCGGCGCCGGCGCCGCCCCCGCCCCCGCCTCCCCCCGCGCCGCCGCCGCCGCCGTTGCGCGCCTGGTGGGGCTTCCTCTTCCCGGCGGAGGCGGGGAAGTGCGACGACGAGACGTCCTCCCGCGCCGCGGCCGCCGGGGAGCGGCAGCAGTTGCCCATGGCCGCGCGAGATCGGGGGTGGGCCCGCTAGGGTTCGTACGGCATTGGGCGCCGCGCGGGTGGGGGAGGAGAGAGGGAGATGGACTGGCTGCTGTGTGCTGTGCCGAGGGACAGAGAAGAGAGGGGGGCTAGCTAGCTAGAGAGGAGAGACAGAGCGGTACTAGTCTTTGGAGCAGTGGAGAGGGACGAGACCTGTGTCGTCGGGTAACGGTATGGAGGAGCCGTGGGGGACGGGGCGCGGGGGACGCGTAGCCGCGAGGAGGGAGGACAGGGGTGGGAACATTCCCACATGTGATGATGGTTTAGTGAGCCCGATGGGTCGCTGGGCAGCGGGCCCGAGGGCGGGGTCGGGGCCTCTGCGGGGAGTTCGGGGGTGGCGGGGCCCACGGTCGTCGGCAGTTTGACCGGATTCAGCGACCGGGGTTTTGTTTCGACGGCCGGCCGTGGACGGAGGAATCTGGCGAGATAAAAACCAGCCCCGTTGTAATGGGAGTATCATAACTAGTATCATGCATGTTAAATAGGTAATTTTGATGATGTGACATAAAATTAAATGAAGAAAGAGATAGTTGGGTATCATACAATGATATTGTATCATAATAAATGCAATGCTACTATGTGTCATGCATGACAATGAATAAAGTCATCTATGATACTATGTATTAGGGAGGTAGTATCACACATTAGTACCATATGCATGATACTAACTTATGATACTATCCATTACAAACAGCCTTAGACCATCTCCACCGCGCGACCCAAAACGTTTGGTTATCTCCGTTTGGAATTAAACGTACAAATGAGACGACCCAACGCGCAACCCCATCCGTAAAATATGTCCGTTTCTTATCCGTCCCACCTCATCCTGGACTCAAAATTGAGCTGGGTTTTCATCCAAAGCGGACACAAGCGGACGCTTTCTGGGTCGTCCTCGTCCGGCAGTGTCCTTTGTGCATGTGACCCTGGCCCGCCTGTCATCTTCTCTCCTCTTCACTCACGTGGCCCACCTACCATCCTCTCTCTCCATATTTTCCTCCTTCCCATGCCGGTGCACACCACTGTGCTGCAGCCGTGGGCGAGCGCGGCGCGTGCCGGAGCGCGAGCGCGGGAGAGCGGGGTGCGGCGCGGCTGCGAGCTGGGGGCGCG